CTAAACAATCCAATTCCATGTCCAAAACAAACATACAACCATAAAAAATTATCAATTCACTAATTCATCATTTATCCACTCTTATACCAAAACTCATCCAACACAACATTTAATCCAAATCCATTCAAAATATAAATCAACAAACAATTCAGCCAAAATCAACAAAACACTTGTAGTTTTCCTTACCTCGCTATCAAATCAAAAAAAAGGAAGAGGAAAGTAGAAAACCCCAAGTTTTAGGGAAGTTCCACACCAAACCACTAAGCTTCAAATTAACTTCAAGCTTCAACTCTACAACTCAGTTATGATCCTCACTCTTTAGAGGAACCTAGAAGGAAGAAGAGAAGAAGACAACTTTAGGTCAAAGCTCTTACCTCTAAAACTCTCTCTCCCTAAGGTTTTAAGAGACATGAACTTGTGAAGCTTAGTCCTAAACAAAATCTTTATATATCTTCGTCTCTCAAGATTAACTAAACATTTAATCAAACACCTTAAAAATTAACCAAACTCTTGAGAGTTCCTCAACTCTTAGAACTCTACAACATACTCTAAGTACTAGATACATAATTATTACTAAAAAATTAATAATAGAAAAATTTAAAGTATTACATAATATCTTGAATAAGAAAACTTAATATCATTTAAATCAAGAGATATTTAGAATTGAAATAATAAGAAGAACATCCGAATTAATTTAACTAATATAGAGATTGATAAAACGTGTTTTACAAAATAAATAAAGAAAGAAAAAGTAGAAGAAAAAAATGACGTGTAATTAAGACTCAGGTCACAATGCACCCAAAAAATGTGATAAGATAATGATGAATACTTTATGATGACCTAACACGTGCAGTAAATTTATGTTATATGATGATTTTGTATGCAAGAAGATGATGTTTCTGTTGATTAAATATGATTGATAAATCCCCTCTACCTTGCTAGATCCGAACTTCAAGCTGACTGTCTCCCAAAAGACTTGACAGTACAATCATAGGTAAAGATAATAATATTAAGGTATAAATATGTTTTTATTTTTTTACATGAATAAATTTATTTTTCATTTCTTAAATTTATAAATACTTTATATTTTCAGCAATTTTAAGATAGTGTGTTATAATCTTGGTTAAATACTTATTTTAGTCCTTTATAATCTTTTTTTGTTTTAATGTAGTCCCATTTTTATTTTTTGTCTCAATTTGGTCTCAAACTAATTAATTGGTTTCAATTTAGTCCCAAATTAATTAATTGATTTCAATGTGGGACTTTCCGTCCAAATTATTTAAACGGAGTTAACTTTTGGGCACGTGGATGCCACGTAGATGCATACATGGATGCCACGTGGATAACAATTTTTTTAAAACACCTGGACCCAGAACGGCCTGTTCTGAAACCAGAACGGCCCGTTCCAGTTTCAGAACGGGCTGTTCCGGTTCCTTTTTTTATATATAAAATATTAATAATTTTATAAAATATATTATTAATTATATTTTAATTATG